GAGCTGATCCGTGCTGGTCGCTGAGGAAAAACATCAACTTCGCGCTGTCGATCACCGGATCAACTTTCACCGTGGACGAAGCGGAGTCTAGCCAGGAGTCATCACATGTGGTTGCCGCAAGCCTCCTTTGTCGAATCCGCTGGGCGCCGCTCACTCAAGCCACTGTGTGTTTCATTATGAAAGCGAAACTACTATGTTTGGCCTTCCAAAAGAGGACATAATGTTTCTATAAAGTGGGGCAGTTCCAACTTTGCAAGGACAGTCTGGCGCTTCTGACTCACAGCCTGTAAGTACGTTTTTTTATATTTAAAGAATTTGCCACTGATGATTCAAACAAGAGTTTGAGCAGTGTAGAGTAGTGCTTATTGTTTGTAATTTCTCCGATCACAAATGCAGACATGGTTTTATGTTTACGTGGCACAATATGCAACGCAAAGCATAAAAAGACAGTATAAGTCATTACAATCACTAATTATGTCCCCACTGGATGCAACAAATGCCTCGTTTGTAATGGGTTTTATTGGTTTTGTCTCGTCGCGCCGGACACATGGAAACCATAGACTGTATGATGGAAACACAGTATGGTAAGGGGCGTAACATTTCTGTCACACGCTTGAGGTATTCGGCCAATCACAATGCACTGGATAGCTGGCCAATCAGAGCACACCTCGCTTTTCAGAACGATGAGCTTTGTAAAAATCAATGCGTTTCAGAAAGGCGGGGCATAGAGGAGAAACAATAATGTACATTATGTGGAAAATAATGTGTTTTTTGAACCTTAAACCGCATAAACACATTGCATTACACCAAATACACCAAATACTGTTCTTTTTAGCAACATCATATGACCCCTTTAAAAGTGGGTGGGTCTTCTCTCCCACACACAAAGTTTCTGATGCCCATGGACAGTTTTGTAATCTAATTTCCATATTGTTTAGTTAGCTTAAGAGTAGATTGCAGTGACTATCAACATTATTGAGACTATATATATATATATCATGGTCATATATATCATATCGTATATATGACCTTGGGTTTCAGTAAAGTTTCAGAAATTAATTGCACTGCTTAAATAATAAGGGTAACACTTCAGTTTAGGGACTCACTATTAACTAGTTGCTTATTAGTATGCATATTACTAGCATATTGGCTGTTTGCTAACAAAGCACATATTAATGCCTCATTCTGCATGACCCTATTTTAGATCCCTTACTCCTACCCCATACTTATCAACTACCTTACTAACTATTAATAAGGAGATTATTAAGAAGCACTCACTTTAAGTAATTATTTAAACACACTAATAATTTTCTGTTATTAAGCACTGTTAAATGTTCTTCAATTCTAGCAGATCTCAAAATTAATATCTATTCATATTCATTCATACACTATAATAGTGTGATACTTGAATTCCAGTGTAGCATTTGAAATGATTGCCTTTTGTCATTTTGACAAAAAAAAAGTATTGGATTTTAATATTAGCCATTTATCAGTTGTCATCATGAAAATAATATTGTCTTATCGGTATTAGCCAGAATTTCAATATTGGTGCACCCCTAATATTCTTAAAGGCGAAAATGTCTCCCTCTCTCATAATAAACACAGATCTTCCTGTAGTGCAGATTTGTCCATCCTGTTTGCATCTACTTTATTCCTCATTCTATTTTTCTTCAGGTCTGCTTTTATTGCTTTTCAGTCTTGAGTCCTCATTCGTTACTGCAGTCATGTTACTGCAGAGACTCAATGGCTCAAGGACACTGTCGCTATAACATGCAGCGTGATTCAGAGCACCATGTGTCTATTGATTGACTGAATGCAGCAAAGCCTCCTGGGAGGCAGAAAGGGGTGGTTATGAGTGTTACAATAAATACTGACAAACAACAAATCTAATACAGCAAACAAGGTGCCCGTCTTCAACTGGCGTTGACTTGTTGTCACGCTGTATGTTAAGTGTGGGTGGGGGGGGGTTGGGGGGGCTCATGCTGTGGGTTGGCACAGAAGATTCCTAATAAATATGCACTTCAAGGTGAGAGAGGGAGAGAGGCAGGGGTGGGCGCAAAGACATCTGCTGGTATAAATAACAGATAAATGAGTCAGCTGAAAGATTAGACATGGATTCTTGATTCTAGGGCATTCTAGGACTTCGAAACTTGCATAGAAATGCAAGATTTTTGGTTTGTTAATGTGAGGGTCACTGTCTCCTCTAGATGCCTGAGAGTTTATCTTATACTCAGACCTTCATAAAGCATATAGCATTGTCATGAGACTAATGCTGGTGAAATATCATGATTCTCAGTGACAAGTCCAATACCACAGCTAAAACTAATATGATTTTAAAAAAATTATTTGGTAACACTTTATTTTAAGGTGTCCTTGTAACACACGTTACATGTACCTACAATAACAATATATTATGCATAATTACACGCAAGTAACCCATATAGTAAGTACATGTAGTTAGTTAATATTACTCAGTACTTAAATGTTTAATTACATTGTAACAAGGACACCTTAAAATAAAGTGTAACCAATTATTTTATAAGTTGAATATTAATATACAACTTTAATAAATTAAATTAAAATGGACATGTTGAAATCAAGCATTTCGTAATTGAACAATCAATCATTCAATCAAACATTTCAAGTTAACAAGTAAATTATTTAAGTAAATAGTCAGTAATAAAATGAAGAACAAAGATACTAATTACAAAAGAAAAAAATAGCCTAAAATTAGTTTGTATTAATATGTATATATAAATGACTGGGTATTATTGTTGCATTGGTATTGAATATTTAAAATGCATGTCTTGATGGGCAATCGCAGGGTGTGTAAAAGTGTCAGGTGCTATTTCAAAGATATGAAAATATCTGCAGAATCATTCATAACAATGTAATAATTTTGAAACAACTTTCCTTTTCACCTGACGTCACCAAGCCTTCTCATTTTTTAGCTCTCTTAAAACTGCCTGTTGTACAGAGATCACGTCCTCTGATCCCATTGTATTATGAAAAGCTCATTTTTAATGATCCATTCAATTCCTGGTGCATAAAATCAAGTCCCGCCCTGTAGTTTTTGTTTTTTTTCTCATTGAATATCCTGTTTCATTCAGAAATGGGTCATCAAATGAGTTGCAAATTCTGTTTATGATTGTTAACTAAAACTGCAATTATTCAAATTAAATGTATATGCTAAAATATTCTAGTTGCAATAAACTTGAAATAACAGAAATAGTACATGAAAAACCTAAAACGATAAAGCTGTATAGAAAAATATTTAAGCTATATAGAAATATATAACAATAAAAGCTCATTCAAAATTGTGTGTGTGTGTGTGTGTGCGTGCGTTTTTGTGACATATGAGGACACAAATTTGTATAATGACATAGGCATGACATAGGTATTACAAGGAGAAGGTGATTTATGAGGACATTACCCCATGTCCCCATTTTTCAAAACGCTTATAAATCATACAGAGTGAGTTTTTTTGAGAAAGTAAGAATGCACAAAGTTTCCTGTAAGGGGTAGGTTTAGGTGTAGGGTTGGTGTAGGGCAATAGCACATACAGTATGTACAGTATAAAAACCATTACGCCTATAGAAATGTCCCCACAATTCACAAAAATTGTGTGTGTGTGAATGAACAGACTTGAAGCAACAACACATCAGCAAGCACATTCTTGTCATAATGGGTTTACAAATGCAAATTACAGTAAACAACACATTAATGATCATTGCCACCAAAATAGCTGTTTAACCACACTCAGTGTCTCTTTTTTTATTCTCTCTCTTGCTCAGGATGTGTTATAGTGCTCATGGTGCATACGCCCAGAGTAAACTGGCCCTGCTGCTGTTCTCCTACCACCTGCAGGACCAGTTGTGGGTCAGAGGTGACCCTGTAACAGTTAACGCCGTGGACCCAGGCATGGTGGACACAGCCCTGTATGACAATCTGTCTAGCCCGGCCCAGCTGGCCAAGAAACCTTTCGCAAAACTGCTCTTCAGGGTAAGGCAAATCATACTGCCCTCTATAAAACATAATTAGTCAAGTTTACTGGAGGATAATAATTGCCTGGACGTATTTGGAATGCCTTATTTCACTTAAATAACTTGCCAAACTTTGGAAAGTCAGCCAAACTAGGCCTGAGTCACTGGCGTGATGGTTTATTCAGACATCTGTCTGTGCTTGGAAGAGAATTCTTGAGGTTTTGAGTCATTTTTTGGCTTTTTTGCCGCTTTTATTAACAGGATAGAGAGAGGACAGGAAATGAGGTGGAATTGGACTAGACTAGACACTATAGAGTGAATGTACCGCTTTCAAGTGGTTGTAAACAAAAATGCTAATTTTCAATAACAATAGGACAATGATTACTTTCATATTATAGACCAGGGGTGCCCAAACTCGGTCCTGGAGGGCCAGTGTCCTGCAGAGTTTAGCTCCAACTTGCCTCAACACACCTGCTTTTAGGTTTCTAGTATGCCTAGTAAGAGCTTGATTAGCTGGTTCAGGTGTGTTTAATTGGGGTTGGAGCTAAACTCTTCAGGACACCGGCCCTCCAGGACCGAGTTTGGACACCCGTTATAGACGATAACAGTTAAATGAAAAATATTTAAAAACTGTACTATTTATGATAAATAAATTAAGGAATGAATGGATGAATAAATAAGTAAATAGAAAATATATTAATAAATAAATTAATTTTGTGAGGCTTGCATTATAATGCAAAATATAAACTATAGTTAACTATTATTTAGACATTAGTAGTTGAGAAAGCTTACTTTAAGGTCCAATTCTCGCTACTAACAAACTATTAACTACGACTTTTGCCTCAGTAAACAACTAATTTGCTGCTTATTAATAGTTAGTCAGGTAGTTAATAAGGTAGTTGTTAAGTTTAGGTATTGGGTAGGATTAGAGATGCAGAATATGGTCATGCAGAATGTGTAATAATGAATAATGTGCTTTGTAAGTACTAATAAACACCCAAGATGTTAATAATAGGGTTGCTAATAAGCAACTAGTTAATAGTGAGAATTGGTCACTATACTGAAGTGTTACAGAAAGTTTTATCTGAAATAAAATAAGTTTAAGATTTTTATATTGTATATGTATTTTTATTTTTGTATTTAAAAAAAAAAATTAATAAGCCTTGTTGGGACCCCTACTATTTAAAATCTCTCTTACATTTTTGTTACCTTTTTTTAGTTACATTTTTAATTAAAAAAATAACTAATATCCCTGATAACTGTCATTACTTATCAGTCCAATATAGAATTCCCAGCTTTCATATCTAAAACGCAATAAATTTAGCGAGTTCATGAATATTCTCCCTCAGATACAGGCCTGTAACTAGCTATGAGGCCACCGAGGTCCGGACCTCTGTAAACTTTTCATGTTCAAAAATAAAATTTGTTCTTTAAATGACTAATTTGCTGTTAAACTCCTCATATGAATGCCTGCATCACATGTATAATTCAGTTTAGACAGTTTGCAAGAATGTTTAGTGTCCCTGTTATGAAAATGATCGCTGCGAGACGCTGGCGGAGTGAACGAGGCTTCAGAGAGTTGTGAGTGAGGGCGAGGGCGCAGCCTCCATGTTGTAACATCCAGCTGTTATAAGCATTTTTGGACTTGTCTTTTCCACTTAATTTAACACTTTAGAAAGTTAATAAAGTAGGAAGTTGCAGTTTAAAGTCAGCAATATCTTTATATTATCTTATTTTCAAAAGATTGGAAGGTATTTAGGTTTGGAAAGAAGATTTAGGTTTATTTTTATTTAATTTTTTGTTTGTTTTAGTATCAATATCTGGCAACACTACTTTGCCGGGACTTAAATTGAAAGCAATCAAAAAAGCCCATGAACAGGTTTTTGCTGACAGGATACGACATTCGGTAAGGGAAACGCAAAAATTATCATGATATTATGTCATAAACTTTATCAACGCTGTCAAAAACAGTAGCATTTAACACTAGTACACACAGATCTGTAGAACAAGTACACTGTAAATAGGTTGCTGTAAATTTTACAGTAACTTACTGGCAGCTGGATGCCAGTAATTTACTGTAAAAATATTTACAGTATTATTACTGTTATTGCACTTACAGTACAATAATGTCTTTACTTCAGTTAAATTTTCACAAATCATGGTATACACTTTCATAAGAACACTAGACAAAGTTATTGTAATTATGTATTGTTGCAATAAACAACTGATAAAATTATCCATCCTTAAATATAGGCTAAAGTGTTAACAAATTTTGATGCAATAAATAGGGTATGATTTAAAAATAATCATCCCTCCAAAACATAGAAAACATCTTTCACAAACATCTACATGTCTGTCTCCTTTAAAGTGTTTATAGTGTGTATATAATGAGTTGTATTTGAAGGGGTTATTATAACAATTCTTTAACACCAACCCCCATCATCCATCATGTGACAGTGCGGTGTATCCCGGGAGACACTCTTTCTTTTCTTCTTCTCCATCTGTCTGTCTCACCAAATCTCTTGGAATTCGTCTTGAAATGTAAAGGTTTGGAGCTGCTGTGTCAGGGTGAACAATAATTGGATTTATCCTGTCTCTTTGCTTCAAAGGTGTGTGTGTGTGTGTGTGTGTGTGTGTTAATCAGATGTGATTCTTTCATCTTAAGAATATTTGTTACACCTCTTGAATTTCAGATTAGTGTAAGAAAATGAATACAAGAATGAGAAAGGAAAAATAAAATATACTATTACACATGCGTGCACATAAACATATATATATATCAAATTTAAAAATCTGGAGATACTATATATATATATATATATATATATATATATATATATATATATATATATATACTGTATATATCCTCTTTTTCCTGACGTGTGTGTATATATATATATATATATACACACACAGGTACATCACAAAAAATTTGAATATCATGAAAAAGATCAATATTTTTTGTCACTCATTTCAGAAAGTGAAACCCTTATATTATATAGATTCATTGCACATAGAGTGAAATATTTCAAGCCTTTATTTCTTGAAATTTTGATAATTATGGCTTACAGAAAATTCAGTGTCTCAGAAAGTTAGAATATTGTGAAAAAGTTCAATATTGGAAAGTCATGGTGTCACACCCAAATCAGCTAATTACCTCAAAACATCTGCAAAGGTTTCCAGGGCCTGTAAATGGTCTCTCAGTCTGGGTCAGTAGGCTGCACAATCATGGGGAAGACTGCTGACTTGACAGATGTCCAGAAGGAGGGTAAGCCACAAAAGTTCATTGCTAAAGAAGCTGGTTGTTCTCAGAGTGCTGTATCCAAGCATATTCATAGAAAGTTGGGTGGAAGGAAAAAGTGTGGTAGGAAAAGGTGCACCAGCAAGTGCGGCGTGACCTTTTTCATGATATTCAAATTTTTTGTGATGTACCTGTGTGTGTGTATATATATATATATATATATATATATATATATATATATATATATAGTATCTCCAGATTTTTAAATGTGATTTTAGACTTTTGGATCTCACTGTTTACAGTATATGTTACAAGCCACCTATACAGTAAGCACCCGTCTATGAGCTCACTGATGTGTTGGCTCAAAATGATCAAAATAGCTACCATTTTCGCAGGTTGTTTTACTGTCATCCCTCAGCCAATCATAGAGTTTCTTTCTGCTTCATTAAATTCAGCTGAGTTTGTGCTAAAAGAGCTTCAGAGATGATCAGAATAGCAAACAGCAGCACATGATAGTGTTGCACGCTCTGTCAGAACAGTATATAATTCATTTTTATGTGTGAACAACTCTCTTTGGTTGTGTGCAATAGACATAGGTAAAGTAACATATGAAAACCGCAACAATGGGCAGCGACCTTCGCCTCTTCTCAAGGGGAATTATTTGTACTACAAAAGATAATTCAATGTGTAATCTGTTGAATACTAATGTAATTTCCATGAAACTCGTACCCTTGTTGAGGTGAGGTGTGTTGATATTGATTCATTGTGATCGTTATCAGAACGGCAATATCCTTTTGCAGGGTGCTTATTTACGAGTCCAGTTGAGTCACGGTTCACAGCGTCCATTATGTATGCGGCACAGGAATTGCTGTAGAAAACCCAGAAATTAAGGGGCTCAGCGAGGACGTTGTGCTGTACGTGTTTAAAAGAAAAGATGACAAATTATGAATGTCTCGAGGGGAAATATTATGACGACTAAACAGGCAAAGTCTTTTAAAATAGAAAAGCACACCCACTGTAGAGAATACAATTTTTCGGCACTTGGCGGAAAGAAAAAACGTGAAGGTTTATACAAGAGCAAAAAAATCTCATTGAGAAAAAAAATGTCAAAGATGATGATGGGTTTTAATAGGTTTTTTGTTTCCTGAAAAAGAGTTTCCTTGCTGTTCATGACTTGAATACTAAAAGCGTATACAATTTCTGAAGTTTATTTCTGGAACCTTTTGTGTTCAGAGAAAGAGAGTGATATGACATTTTCCTATAAATCAAATGTGCTCTCAAAACTGAAGTATACTTACTTTTAAACACTTATTTTACATTTACACTGCTTTTCCACCAGTGTTTTATTTCTCACCTGACAGCTTTTCCAATTGTCAGAACCCAAACTGAGGAATAAAAAATGCTTGGATATAAAACATTAGGGGAGGGTGGTATGGCTAAAATCTTCACCGTATCTGCATATTATCACAGTGTAGTTCATCTTCACTTAATATAAAAAAAATAATGCTTTAGAAATTAAATAGCCATGGGTTATTAACTCAATGGGTTATCTATTTTTAGATAACCCATTGAATTTATATGTACAAATACAAGGTACTTCATCTCTGTTGATTATTTTCTCTTTTTATTTGGCACTTGAAGGATAAATCATGCTTAAGTGTTACTTACTAAGAAACAATTAAGTTTATTATCATTAGGTAATGCGTTAGGTATTGTGAACTAAGAGTGAACAACATTTATGGTTACACTTTATTTTAAGGTGTCCTTGTTACAGTGTAATTATACATTTACTGAATAATATCAATTAATTAATTATATTTGGAATAAGGGTTGGCTTAGGGTTACTTACTTGCATGTAATTATGCAGAATGTATTGTTATTATAATAGTAAGTACATGTAACGTGTAACAAGGGTACCGTAATATAAAGTGTTACCAAAATTTTTAAGTAGAAAAACTGAAATTTTATATATATTTTTTTATTTATATGCTTATTTATTTTGTAAAATGTACCCAATAATCTTTATTTACGACTTTAAAATATATTGTTTAAAGTTTACTGTCACTAAACAATGTAAAAAAAATTACACAAATAATGTAAAGCAGCCCTGTTCACTTATAGCCATGCAAATGTATGTGTATATGACCCAGCAAAATCTCTACTGGTTGATGCATTTCTACCATTGCGTGGTATATAGCATCTGTAAATGTTGTGCTCAGCCTTATTAAACAGTATATAAAGGTGTTGAGTCTTTCTGTACCGCAGCTGTTGCTCCATTTCCCCTTAAGCACCCAGGCTCCGTATGGCCCAATACTAACAGCTTTAAGAGAGAAGCTTTTCTCACACTCTTTGTGCTGTATTGATTCAGCTCAGTATAGGGAAACCTTGTGGCTCCTGTAGTTTAATCCAAATTCCCTCAGACGAAAGAGATCTAGAAAAGAGAAAAACAGTGCTCAGCCCCAATTGCCCAGCCTTAAAGAGAGCCATTTGAAGTGCAGAATCTGGCAGCGGTTTTAGAGAAGATCGGCTGTCCTGTGTAATTGATCCGTCTGGAGGTCATAGTCCAACTGACCGTCTGCATATCAATCTCACCAACTGTGCTGCCCAACTTTTAGATCTTCTGATGTGGAAGTGAGCCATAACATTTGCAATTAGAAGGATAATTTGAATAATTAACCATGGCAGCTGGAAAGCATCATGTGTAAACATGAGGCAAGAGTCACGTGATAAAGTGTATGAATTAGGACTGGCAATAAATAAATTGAATTACATAAGCAAATGAATCACATATATGAATATTTGGGGGGGAAAGCACCAAAATAAAGATAATTTAAGACATTACGGTGTTGTGGCAGATAAGTAATGAATTCAGAAGACATTACAAAAAATCTGAGCTTTTCATTTGAGCTGCATTTTCCATCAAGAGCACAGGATTTTGAGATGTCATGTCAAAAGGGATTCACCCAAAAAATGAAAATTCTGTCATAATTTACTCGCCCTAATGTTGATCTAATCCTGTATAATTTATACCCCGGTTTCACAGACAAGGCTTAAGCCTAGTCCCAGACTGAAGCGCAAGTCAGAGCCGTTTCAACTGAAAGAAACTTGCACTGACTGATCTTAAAATATTTCAGTGCCTTTGTTTTGTTTCAAGATGCACATTGTAAATACAACTTAACCACTGATTTCTAGTCGTGTCCTCTTTTGGAAAGCCAAACAAAGTCGTTTAGCTTTCACAATGAAACACAGCGTCACACACGGCGGGCTAGAGTGAGCGGAGGCAAATAAATGTATATACGACCCAGCAAAATCTCTACTGGTTGACGCATTTCTAGCATTGCGGAATATATACTGTAAATGTTGTGATCAGCCCTATAAAGCAGTATATAAAGGTGTCGAGTCTTTCTGTACCGCAGCTGTTCCATTTCACCTTAAGCACACAGGCCCCGTATGGCCCAATACTAACAGCTTTAAGAGAGAAGCTTTTCTCACACTCTTTGTGCTGTATTGATTCAGCTCAGTATAGGGAAACCTTGTGGCTCCTGTAGTTTAATCCAAATTCCCTCAGACGAAAGAGATCTAGAAAAGAGAAAAACAGTGCTCAGCCCCAATTGCCCAGCCTTAAAGAGAGCCATTTGAAGTGCAGAATCTGGCAGCGGTTTTAGAGAAGATCGGCTGTCCTGTGTAATTGATCCGTCTGGAGGTCATAGTCCAACTGACCGTCTGCATATCAATCTCACCAACTGTGCTGCCCAACTTTTAGATCTTCTGATGTGGAAGTGAGCCATAACATTTGCAATTAGAAGGATAATTTGAATAATTAACCATGGCAGCTGGAAAGCATCATGTGTAAACATGAGGCAAGAGTCACGTGATAAAGTGTATGAATTAGGACTGGCAATAAATAAATTGAATTACATAAGCAAATGAATCACATATATGAATATTTGGGGGGGAAAGCACCAAAATAAAGATAATTTAAGACATTACGGTGTTGTGGCAGATAAGTAATGAATTCAGAAGACATTACAAAAAATCTGAGCTTTTCATTTGAGCTGCATTTTCCATCAAGAGCACAGGATTTTGAGATGTCATGTCAAAAGGGATTCACCCAAAAAATGAAAATTCTGTCATAATTTACTCGCCCTAATGTTGATCTAATCCTGTATAATTTATACCCCGGTTTCACAGACAAGGCTTAAGCCTAGTCCCAGACTGAAGCGCAAGTCAGAGCCGTTTCAACTGAAAGAAACTTGCACTGACTGATCTTAAAATATTTCAGTGCCTTTGTTTTGTTTCAAGATGCACACCAGTAATGTTTTTTCTAAGGCATGTTAATAAAAATTACTTAAATATCCTAATTGAACTATGGCCTAATCCTGTCTAAGTCTAAACCCTGTCTGTGAATCCGGGCCATTTTCTCTACTGAACTCAAAGAACTCTAGTGCCAAGTACACTACAAATACATTTACATATTTATGTACTCAAAAATACCCTGCGATTGAACCTTTGGCATACTAGACAGGTATATTTAGTCTGCTAAATTGGAAAAACGAATTTTATACTTAATGCAATTTAATTGTAAGGAAGTAGTGCTGAAGTCCAACTATAGATATACTGAAGTATATTTAAAGGGATAGTTCACCCAAAATTAAAAGTATGTCATTAATTACTCACCCTCATGTCGTTCCAAACCTGTAAGACCTTTGTCATAGGCGGAGCGTGTGTAAGGCTAAGCCTTCCCCTGGCCACGGGGACTTGGGGCAAAAATGCCACTAAATTGGACAAAAATGACCCTGCACAAACAAATTAAATCTATTAAGTCTGTTGCTAACAAAGTGAATATGAATAGACAGTGATTGCAGCATTAAATTAAGATCTGTATTTCATTTTAGGCGTTCAGATGAGTCATCGTTCAAACTCATCAGTTTTGTCGAGTGTGCTCGCGTTCGCTGACTGAATTCCGGACTCTTGCAAATTCTCTCATCATAAACAACAATGCGCAGATGTACGTTCAATGTAAGTAAGAGATTCATTTAACAGTGTATACAGCTTCAGTGATTATAACGATAGTTTTGTTTTTTTGAGAGTGCTTAAACGCGTGATAGATCAGTGTTAGTGATAGTGTCACTTTCTATATATAATTTATTCGCTGTTTGAATAACCGTGGAAAGGAAACGTTATATAATTATCAATTTCTAACATTTGTATTAAATTGTAATCATTTCAGCCTGTGTGCACTGAATTTATTTAATACACAAGTTTCACAATTTGAGTTGAATTACTGAAATAAATTAACTTTTCCACGACATTCTAATTTATTGAGATGCACCTGTACATTTGGCTGCTTTTAGCCTTACCCTGGAGTTGGTTCACCCGCCGCCTATGACCTTCGTTCATCTTCGGATCACAAATTAAGATATTTTTGATGCATTCAGAGAGCTCTCTGACCCTCCCATAGACAGCAAGGATCCGAACACGATCAAGGCTCAGAAACGTAGCAAGGAGATAGCTAAAATAATCCATGTGACATCAGTGGTTAAACCATCATTTTACTAAGCTACGAGAATACCTTTTGTGCGCAAAGAAAACAAAAATAACAACTTTATTCAACAATTTGTCTCCTCCGCGTCACCCTGGTGCCATTTTGGAGAGTATCACATATGTAAACAATGTATACAACGTATGTACGCGGATGTGCTGTTTACGTTCAGATCAAAACGTAAACGGTGCTGCTGACACAACACAGCATACATTGTTTACAGGTTTATTTACCAAAGCAACTTACAAGAAAGTGCACATGTAAGTGGTAATTATCAGTGCTAGCAGCTAAGGATATATGTCAAGTACTAGGGTTAGACTTAAGTGCTAGAAGAACACTACAGCACAAATGCACTGTAACATTGCGATGGCTGTCACGTATAAGGATCATGAAGTCTTTGACATTGGCAGAAATGACTAATTTATATTTTACTCCAGGAATCAGGAACATCTTTCCTGTCCTTCTTAGATATTTAATATCCGTCTCTGATGAAATATTCTTAACATGCCCACATCTGTGTTGACTTCATCTCTGATTCCTGTCCATCCACAGACGCCTGCAGAAGGAGCATCCACGGCCATCTACACTGCAGCTGCCTCCGAGCTGGAGGGGATCGGAGGACTGTATCTCTACAACGGACGCAAGACGGAGTCTTCAGCACTTTCTTATGACCAACGGCTGCAAACCAAGTTGTGGAAAGAAAGCTGTGCTCTAGTGGGTCTCCAATAAACATGAGAGAACATCAGCACTGAGCTCCTGATCACTGAGACTTGGGCCCTCATCTTACAGTCCATATAACATCCACCTGAAAAAAATTCAACCTCATGCCTTAAGTTAGTATCCCTTTTTGCCAAATTATCCCTTTGTCTTTAAACCATCTCATTACCTTTATAGTGTTCACTAGTGCTATCAAACAATTAATCGCATCCAAAATAAAACTTTTTGTTTACATAATAATGTGTGTGTATTGTGAATATTTATTATGTATATATAAATACACGCACATACAGCATATATTTTGAAAATATTTACATGTATTTACATGTACATATTTATATTCATATAATTTATATCATATATGAATGTTTAATATATAAACGTAACATTTTCTTAGATATATACATGCATGTGTCTGTATTTATATTTACATAATAAGTATACAAAGTACACACACATATTATGTAAACAAACTTTTATTTTGGATGCGATTAATCACGATTAATCGTTTGACAGGACTAGTGTTCACACAAGCCATCTTAGACAACGTCTTGAGAATGTGTACCTCAACGGAACGTGACAAGTGCGCTGTTTTCTGTCCTGAAATCGCTCTCTTCCTCCTCACTTGGGAACTCTCCGAACACTTTTTCCCTGAACTAAGCAAATAAAACAGTGATTTTGACTAATAATTGAGTATCTAGTTCTCTGCTAAGCCTTTTTGGGTGCTTAATGAATCAGGACCGTCGCAATGGCTGTTCTACTGATTTTCCTTTGGATTTTGTCAACAGACTATAAAGGATTATATGTGAAATCTCCAGCTCTCTTAACTGGGCAAATACCAGCCTGTGTCTGTTGATTCTCTTAGTTTCCATGCTAGGATTTTGCGTCTTTTTTTGTTAGTATAGTTGTATATCTTCAGTGGCGCCTACGTTGGGTTATTCCCAACCCATCAGTCAGTGTCTTTCCTCCCTCTGCCTACCGCATCTAATTGTCTAAACACAAACTGCAGAAGGGCTAAGGGGGAAAAACATTTGTCTGGCTAAGCCCTTCATTTTTCATTCCCTCACTGTGCAATTTGCAATGCTGTGTTTTGAATTTAACCACAAAAGAGACAGCTGCCCTCATGCCAGGTGCCTCACCTTCATTCATCTTCTTTCTCCCAGAGGGGCAAATTTCGTCCAACTGTTCTGTTCGTGACTGTGACGTGCTCAGAATTTGTGATTCCAATGTGTAGTAATGTAGTTGTGTTTTTTTTTTTTTTTTTTCAACAGACCTTGAAACAGAAACATTTAAAGGGGTCCTATTATGCTTTTACACTTTTTCAACTTTAGTTAGTCTGTAATGTTGCTGTTTGAGCATAAAAAAGATCTGCAAAGTTACAAAGCTCAAAGTCCACTTCAAAAGGAGATATTTTATTTAACAGAAATCACTTTTCAAAAACTACAACGAACGACTCGTTTGGACTACAGTGCACATTTTACGGGATTTGTGATATCACAAATATCGACTATTGGGACGACACCTGGTTGAGCTGCACTAGAAAAGGCAACGAGTGTTATCACTAAGTCGGAGACGCGCTAGTTTTCCGAAGGCAGACGCACTTAGAGTGGTTACAATCATCCGGGTTTAACTCGCGCTCAAATGGATTTGATTTTGATGCAATATTTACACTGAAGCTGGCAGGCGGCTATAGTAAGGGGCGTGACATTTCCCGACCAGGCGCCGAATGAGCCAATCACAACACACTCTGGCCCAGCTAACCAATCACAGCACATTTTGTATTTCAGAAGGCGGGCCTTCATTTCATACAGAAACTATTCAAGCCGTTCATGCCAGACTGGGGAGAGAGGTGTTGTAATCATGTAAAATATGTGAAAAATAATGTGTTTTTCAAACAACCTAGTATGAGAGCCTGTTCTAGTACACCCCCAAAACAAAATCAAGACTTTGTAAAAGAGCATAATAGGACCCCTTTAAATATGTGCACATATTTTATAAATCAAGATTTTCCTTTGAGATGTTGAGATTTAACTTTTAAAAATATTCAGGCATCCTATTAATTTTTTTTTTTATATATGTATTTATCCAAGGTCGATGTGCAATAGCAAACCAGCTAATTGAGTCTTGAAATAATGGAAAATTTGAACATTTTCCAACAGGACATGTCGCTTCATAAATACTAATATATAAAAGTACTGTGACAACTTGGAGGTGTTGTCTCAAGTTTGGTTGCTTTGGTAAAGTGCTACTTTGACCTGTTAAATTCTAATTTAAATGTACTAGTGTCAAAATGTGCCTGTTATTTGTGTGTTTTATGTGGCATCAATCATGCAGTTGACCAAATGGTGTTCACATTTAAACCTCTCTAATTCAGTTAATTTTCTGTATGGTACAGTGAATGGGATATGAAGCTTTTGGGTAAAAGAGAGATGAAGATATCCCCCCATTTGCATTGCTTTTGAGAATTTGCTTTTATCATTGCCTAGTTTTGCTTATTGTACTCTAATTATGCACTAATGGAAGTGCTGCTGTATTATAATGTATCTAGCATTATAGGAAGGGTAAATAACGTCCATGCACAGATAATAATGATCCAATAGATTAATTATATGGTTGTGATACTGAGAAATAAATTAATAACAGTGTTTGGAGGCACCAAATGTCTGATGATAAATGAATTGAGAAACAGTCTCAGTACAAAATGTGCAAAGAGGATTTGCGTACTTGGCTCCTCAGGCACATGCACTGTGAATGAGCCCAATGTTTCTGTCATTTGTGTGTGTGAAAGAGAGGGATGAAGACGGAGAAAATAGTGCAGCATTATCTTGCCAGGAGACTCTGAAGTGTCTCATCTTCAGCTCTTGTTGAAAACTGAGTGAATGAGTTTCTCTTCTAAGGCTCTTGTCTAAATAAAAACTGATTTTGCTGTTGCAGTAGCTGTTTTTTTCTGCTAATGGTGAAGTGTAAATGAAAATATGGGATGTAAAAGCCAATTTATGTTGTTTCGGTTTTAGAAATTGTGCAGGGCCGGTCATTTGCAGTTTCAAGGACACCAAGCAGAAGTCATATGATCCACATGCTCTGTTGAAATTGAATAGAATAAAATGGTTTCATTCATCCTTTGTTCCAGACATTTCTTTTGAAAAATTAGTTCTCACTAATGCTTCAAGTTCAGTCACGCATAGTCACGTAACACTTTTTTTTACTGCTTTGAAGTAATAGTTGTACATTTTGCTTTAAGCAGATGGTACATTTCAAGCTAATTTGTGCATCAGACTTGTTCGCTTTGTCTGCTCGATAAAAGACATACACGTGGGCAGGTAACTGGCTGCCGCTGAATCGAATAAATTGGTGGACCGTCATCATGTCAACATGTGAGCAACTGGTTTATAGACCTCTGTCCACCAAATGAGCTAACTGTCTTCTGGCGTTTTGAAGACAAACACCAGTTCTAAACAGTTTTTTTTTCACAATAAACCAATGGTTTCACTGCCTGTTCTCTCTATACATAAAACAAAAATATGATTTGTGAAATAAGATAAGTGGACTCCTAAACCAATAGGGGCCACATGCTGTCCAAGATGTCATAAGCAGCCTAGTACTGCTGACATTTCATGTCATGCAAACAATGATAAAAATTGTATAAATGGTAGACTAAAGCATAAATGTTAACTGGGTAACACTTTAGTATACTGACCTATTTTTGCTATTAACTAGTTGCTTATTAGCATTAACATATTGGCTGTTTATTAGTACTTATAAAGCACATATTCTGTATGACCATATTCTACATCCCTAATCCTAAACGATACCTAAACTTAACAACTACCTTACTAATGATTAATAAGCAGCAAACTAGGAGTTTATTTTAGGCAAATGTGGTTGCACTATATTTTACAGTACGTGCACTTACATGTACTTACAGTGTACCTACCTAAGAAAGTACTGGTAATATAAGGTAACTACATGAAGTAGGGTTAGGTTTAGGGGTAGGTTCAGGGTTATTACCTAGTTATTGTAATCACTATAATAAGTACATAGTATGTACATGAGTAACAGGACTGTAAAATAAAGTGCTACTGCAAAAGTTAATGTTTGTAGTTAATGGTTTGTTAATAGCAAGAACAGGACCATAAAATAAAGTGTGACCATTAACAGTAGAAATGATATTAAATATATAATATCTAAATATTAATTTAAAACATATTTAAAGTCTCAGTGTTTTTATATAAGAATGCCACATTAAATATATTTCTTTAAAAATATGTATCAGGAGTCAAATTTAAATGCCACATTAAACATATATATATATTTTAATTGAAGATCAGGCCCAGATCATACGTTTTCTACGTTGTTTGTGCTTTGATTTGAACGAAAACAACATATCCGTGATGGGGCAGCAGACACAGAACAACAGAGGCTGTTTGCGTTCAGTGGATACTCTCCAAAATGGCGCTAGGGTGACACGGAGGAGAAGAATTGTTGAATAAAGTCGTTATTTTTTTCTTTTGCGAACAAAAAGTATTCTCGTAGCTTCGTAATATTATGGTTGAACCCCTGATGTCACATGGATTATTTATCGATCTCCTTGCTACGTTTCTGGACGTTGATCGTGGTAGTACCCTTGCTGTCTATGGGAGGGTTAGAGAGCTGTCAGAATGCATCAAAAATATCTTAATTTGTGTTCCGAAGATGAACGGAGGCCTTACGGGCTTGGAACGATATGAGGGTGAGTAATTAATGACAGAATTTTCATTTTTAGGTGAACTAACCCTTTAAGGTTGTCCTAAAAAGACTAATCAGCTACTGATATTTGCCTTAACTCTTAACCCTAAGTTTTCCAAAAAAAAAGGGCCATACTTTGGCTGTTTGTGGCCATATTGTTCATTTAATAAAATGTTATAAAACTAACTTTCCTAAAGGTTACTGTAAATAAATATATAAATGAATGAATGAAAACATACATAAATATTGCATACATACATAAATAAAAAGTTGTAAATAAAGCAAAGATTATTGGAGTACATTTCACTAGAAAATACTATTTCATTCTTTCCACAAATGTCATGTTTAATTCAGTGTGTTGCTTGCCATTTCTTTGCTTTTTTTTGCTTTTTTTCTTGTGAAATTCACTAGCAAAATCTATTTTTATTTCTGAGTAAAAAAATCAAAGTAATTTTTACAATTAAATGATGCATCTTTTATGG